TTTTTTTTTTTTTTTTTTTTGACAAAAAGGCAGGTATGTGGTATTGTTTTTTTAGGGAAGTTTGATACTTGACAGGTTTGTTGCGTGGCATTTTTTTAAGGAGAGTTTTTTAAATTTTAAAAAAAAATTTGGAAGAAGAGTAACCTAACCCAAAAATAGAGAGTTGGGATTGGGATGAGTTGTGAAAATTTTCAGGTTAGGTTGAGTTGAGTTGTGAAAATTTTGAAGTTAGGTTGGGTTGTCAAGCCTTCTCTTAGTAGGTCACTCCTCATCTCCTCTTCTCATCTCTTCATCTCTCGGATTCAAATTGTAGTAAGGAAATTTTGATTTAATAAAAAGACTATGAATGAGACAAGTATATTGATGACATTTTTTGCACTCTCCACGAATACCATCCTTTTGTCATCGTTGGTCTCTCCTTCTCATCTCTCGATCTCTTAGATTCATACTAAAGTGGTAAGGAAATTTTGATTTAATAAAACTGAAAAGCCGTGGATGAGGTAAGCATTTTGATAGCATATTTTGCACTCTCCAAGAATATTATCTCAGCATCTCTCCCGTAGTCTGCACTCTATTAATTATGGCCGGTGACATTTTTTTCTATAAAGGTAGTTATGTGGCATTGTTTTTTTTTAAGGAGGTTGGTTCCTTTGCTTTTTCTTTGATAGAGGTTAGTTACGTGGCATTTTTTTAAGGAGAGTTTTTTAAATTTAAAAAAGAAAATTGGAACAACCTTAACCCGACCCAAAAAGGGAGGGTTGGGTTGGTTGGGTTGTGAAAATTTTTGGGTTGGGTTGAGTTGGGTTGTGAAAATTTTCGAGTTGGGTCGAGTTGGGTTGTGAAAATTTTTGGGTTGGGTTGGGTTGTCACGCCTTCTCGTAGTTGGTCTCTCCTTCTCATCTCTCGGATTCAGACTGAAGTGGTAAAGAGATTTTTATTTAATAAAACTAAAACGCTGTAGATGAAACAAGTATTTTGATGACATTTTTTGCACTCTCCACGAATACCATCTCTTTCTCGTCATTGGTATCTCCTTCTCGTCTCTCGATTTCCCGGATTCATACTGAAGTGATAAGGAAATTTTGATTTAATAAACCATAAAACACTGTGGATGAGAAGTATTTTGATGACATTATTTACACTCTCCACCAAATACCATCTCTTGCATTTCTACAGTCGTGCTCTGCACTTCATTAATTATGTCAGGTGACATTTTTTTTTTTTTTGGCAAAGGGCAGTTATGTGGCATTGTTTTTTTACGAAAGTTGGGGTTATGTGGCATTTTCTTTGTCCGAGGTTAGTTATGTAGCATTTTTTTAAATTTAAAAAAAAAAATTGGAACAACCTTAATCCAACCCTCCAATAGAGGATTAGGTTGGGTTGGGTTGTGAAAATTTTGAGGTTAATTGTGAAAATTTTTTGGTTGGATTGGGTTGTCACGCCTTCTCGTCTATGGTCGGTCTCTCCTTCTCATCTCTCGATCTCTCGGATTCAGACTGAAGTGGTAAGGAAATTTTGGTTAAATAAAATTGAAACACGGTGGATAAGACAAGTATTTTGATTTAGACGGAAGTGGCAAGAAAATTTTGATTTAATAAAACTAAAATACTGTGATAACATTTTTTACCCTCTCCACAGATATTATCTCTGCATTTCTTGAGTCTGTGTTCTGCCCTCCATTAATTATGGCCATAAAGGTGGCATTTTTTTTTTTTTTTGATAAAGGGCAATTATGTGGCATTGTTTATGATAGATGATGGGTTATGTGACATTTTCTTAGTTGGTTACGTGACATTTTTTTAAGAAGAGTTTTTTAAATTTAAAAAAGAAAATTGAAACCGCCTTAACCCAACCCAAAAATAGAGGGTTGGGTCCCATTGTCAAAATTTTCTGGTTGAGTTTTGAAAATTTTTGCACTCGGTTGGGTTGTCACGCCTTCTCGTCGTTGGTCTCTTCTTCTCATCTCTCGATCTCTGGGATTCAGATTAAAGTGGTAAGGAAATTTTGATTTAATAAAACTGAAACGCGGTAGATGAGAAGTATTTTGATGAAATTTTTTACACTCTCTACTAATACTATCTCTGCATCTCTCCCGTCTGTGCTCTGCACTTCATTAATTATGTCAGGTGACATTTCTTTTTATAAAGGGCATTTATGTGGCATTGTTTTTTTTTACGAAAGTTGGTAACCTGGCATTTTCTCTGACAGAGGTTAGTTATGTGGAATTTTTTTAAGGAGAGTTTTTTAAATAGAGGGTTGTGGGTTGGGTTGGGTTGTAAAAATTTTCGGGATGGGTTGAGTTGTCGCGCCTTCTCGTCGTTGATCTCTCCTTCTCATCTCACGATATCTCGTGATTCAGATTGAAGTGCTAAGGAAAGAGGCAAGTATTTTGATGGCATTTTTTACACTCTCCAAGAATACCATCTCTTTCTCATCGATGGTCTCTCCTTCTCATCTCTCGATCTCTCGGAAAGTGGTAAGGAAATTTTGATTTAGATTTAATAAAATTGAAACCCCGTGGATGAGAAGTATTTTGATGGCATTTTTTACACTCCACGAATACTATCTTTGCATTTCTCGAGACTGCTCTCCAGTCCCTTAATTATGTCAGGTGGCATTTGTTTTTTTTTTTTTTACAAAAGTGAGTTATGTGTCATTTTTTTTAAATATATAAAAAAAAAAATTGTAACAACCTTAACCCAACTCGGGTTGTGAAAATTTTTAGGTTGGGTTAGGTTTGGTTGAGTTATCCATCCGACCAACCTGAATTTTTAGATTGGGTCAAAAAAATTCTCAACGCAACCCCACCATGTAGACACGTGGTGCGTTGTTATTGACGTAGGAGCAACGCAAAAAAAACCCATTTGGACCAAGAAGAAAAAGAAAAAGGAAAATGGGCCATTCAGGAAAGACAGAGAGAGAGGGCACAGATACGCCATTGTTTTCTACAGAAAAACATCCCTTTCACCATCTTCCGTCTCCCCCGCCCACTCTCTCTCCGCCACTTGCCCTCCGCCATAGCTCTCACGCCTCGACACGTTTCTCTTCTATATCATCCCTCTCCCTCTCAACACCTTCTTTCAGCCTCTGTTAATCCTTCTCTCTTAGGTTTTCTGCTCTGCTACTGAAGAACTTTGGTGGAATTCGGTTTCGGATTTCAAAATCAGAGGTGATCTTCTTCTTCTTCTTCTTCTTTTTCTTCTTATTTTGGTTTTTATTTAGCGTTTTGGATTATGGCCATCGATTATTTGGTACTCACTCCCTGTTTTCGTTTGATTCTGCCTTGATCGGGTTTTGTTTTTCTCTGCTGCATGATAACGATTTCAATACTGTTTCGTTTGTGTTAATTTTCTGCTTTTGAAATTGAAATCCATGGCTAAGCAATTCATACAATCGAAGCTCTGGATATGAATTCCTGTTTTCGATGGCGTTCTGTTGGAGATCCAGTAGGATTCAATTGAGTTTGAAGTTAGGGCAGATTGGAGAGATGAGGAGTTCTTTAATAATTACTCTTTTCATGATTCTTTTTCTCTGAATGATTACTCTCTGTTTCACTCCTGATGAACTTTTTTAGCTTGAACAAATTCTTCTGTGAGTGGGATATATGAGTGTTTTCTAGGTTCTATTTTGGGGCATGGAGCCACTCCCCAATTAAAAAGCTTGGGAAGAGACTGTCAGATCCATATTGGTCGTGGAGGAGAACGAAACACCGTTTATAAGGGTGTGAAAACCTCTCTTTATTAGACGTGTTTGAAAAACCTTGAGGGGAAGCCCGGAAGGAAAAGCCCAAAGAGGACAATATCGGCTAGTGGTGAGCTTGGGTGGTTACAAATGGTATTAGAGCCAGACACCAGGCGATGTGTCAGTGACGAGGCTTAGACCCAAAGGGGTGGACACAAGGCAGTGTGCCAGCAAAGATGCTAGGCCCCAAAGGGAACGAGTGCTAGCGAGGACGCTGGGTCTTGAAGGGGGTGAATTGTGAGATCCCACATCGGTTGGGGAGGAGAACGAAACACCATTTATAAGAGCGTGCAAATCTCTCCCTAGCAGACGTGTTTTAAAAACTTTGAGGGGAAACCCAAAAGGAAAATTTCAAAAAGGACAATATCTGTTGGGGGTGAAGTTACTTCACTTGTTACCTAGATTGATAGATTGATGATCAAAGCTACGATGTTCTTTAAGCATGATAGAACTTGTGTTCTTAATGAAAGTATTTTCTGTTCTGATGAACAGTGTGGAATATACACCAAGAATTGTGAGCCATGGATCAATCAGAGCGTTCACAGCATCAGCAACAATCACAGCAGCCTGCAGGCGGTGTGGGCGGTGCGGGCGGTGCAGGCACATATTCTAATCCTTACCAAACAGCTCCGTTGGTGGCTTCCGGAACACCCGCCATTACAGTTCCCCCAACTCAGCTTGCCTTTCAGCAGGCTCAGCACTTCCACCACCACCAGCAACAACAGCACCAAATGTTTTGGGCAAACCAAATGCAAGAGATTGAACAAACAACTGACTTCAAGAACCATAGTCTCCCCCTTGCTCGAATCAAGAAGATAATGAAAGCGGATGAAGACGTTCGAATGATTTCAGCTGAAGCACCCGTTGTATTCGCAAAGGCGTGTGAAATGTTCATCTTGGAATTGACTCTACGATCCTGGATTCATACAGAAGAGAACAAAAGGAGAACTTTACAGAAGAACGATATCGCAGCTGCAATTTCGAGGACCGATGTCTTCGATTTCTTGGTTGATATTATTCCTAGAGACGAACTGAAAGAGGAAGGCCTCGGAATCACTAAAGCCTCTATTCCTGTAGTTGGTTCCCCAGCTGATATTCCTTATTACTATGTTCCCTCGCAGCATCCAGTTGGTGCGACGGGGATGATCATGGGGAAGCAATTGGATCAAGCGAATGTGTACGGTGCCACTGCTCAACAGCCACGACCACCTATGCCGTTCATGCCATGGCCGCACACTCAACCTCAGCAGCAGCAGCAGCAGCAATGAGCTCAGCAGCAAAGCGACATGTAGGTAAAAAGTAGTACGTGTTTTCAGGACAGTCGTGATAGATCGATAGAGAGGCGATGTCGACTGTGTAGATTAGTTCATAAAAGAAGATCTCTTAGTAGAGGACTTGTGAATGAGGAGAAGCTGGGCAGTTGAGTTTGTATGATGAGAGGGTGTTCATCTCTTATTACTCTGACTATCTATTACTGTAATGACAACAATGCATGTGGAAGAAGAGGATCCAACTTTGCCAAAAAAACAACTTTAATTGTAATTTTAGGTTCAAAGCAGAAAGGATTAAGATTTTGAGCTAAAAATCACTTGCTAAAAAGCTTTTGAAAGGAGATGAAGAGGGTTTAGGGTTTGGTGAATTGTGATGTCAACGACACGTGAAATAGTTCTACACGACAATAACATAGGTGGCATGAAGACATGGTAGGAATATCGAGATCAAATTTGAGGATGGATAGAGTTTTTTCAAAACCAATGACATAGGTGGCATGAAGACATGGTAGGAATTGATCCCGAGCATGATGAGCGGAGTATTAAATTTTCAAAGATGAGGAGATGAAAGAAAATTGTCATTGGAAAATCGAGTCGGAACTCGATAGTTTTCTAAATGAAAATATTTGGTGAACCATTAGAGATTGGTCATCCTATAATTGAATTCAAGGCAACTCCAGAATCAACGTTCAAATCTAGAGACCATCCCAAGTTGAACTAAGAACATATGCCTAAGGTCGTCGTAGAAGATAAGCACGGTATAAGTCATGCCTAACTTGACTTCAATGGAGGAGGGTTCCTCTATCATCGAAGGGCTTAATTTGATAGAAGAAGAAGAAGAATGTTTACCGACTAATATCTAAAGATGAGGTAAGATTGAAAGTGCCATCTGTTCAGAATGTTTACCAACTAATATCTAAAGATGAGAGGAAAATACAAAGTAACTAAAGATTGAGAATAAGATAAAATATAGTCTTAACTGGTTATAAATATCTAAGATATATTTCATAACTAATTATTATAATATATTCTCCCAATATTATATCGAAGTGGAAATACAATTTTAAAAATAAATATGTTAAAATAATTAATAAGTGAAAATTTTAAACTAATATAAAAACAATTACTATGCCAGTTTTTTTTCTTTTATTTATGTGCCATTTTTCCTATGAAATAAATAAATAAAAATAAATAAATAAAATAAATAAATAAAGAAAAGAAAAGGGAAGGAAATTAAAGAAAACCCTAAGGCCCATGAGCCCCATCCTCTTTCTTCCAGCTCCCTCTCACGTGTGTTCGAGCCGCCAAACACTCGCCCTCGTCTTCTTCATTTCCGGCCACAGCGCCTCCTCTCTGACGCTATCGCTGCAGTCTCAGGCGTGTGAAGAACCTCGATAACTCTGACCAGCGTTTTTATTTCTTCACCGGCGAGCCTAAATTCACTAACCACCACGTCATTTTGATTACACGCGGCGTAAGGCGATACCGTACGAAGTGATGCGACGGGCAGTGTGCTGCCACCACGAGCATACTGCTGCGATCGACACGATTTTCTGATGGCTGTGTGTGCGACGGACCTCTTCACAACCAGCGATTGTGCGTTTTGACTGCCACGGTGGAACAACTTGCTGCCGGGTAGAACTAGTGGCGATTCTCATACCTTTCGTCTTCCTTCTCTCGCTGTTACGGTTAGTTTCAACAGTATACGCTTTCTATAGAGGGTCTGGTAAGGAATTGTTGCTTTAGGGAGATGGGAGCTCTTGCCCCCGTCGCGCCTTGGACTCCTGAAGATGATATTCTCCTCAAGAACGCCGTTGAGGTAAAACTATTTCCCTCTTTTGAGCCATTTTCAAGATTCATCCGTAGACTGTTACTTTCGATTACTCGCGGTTGATTGTCTCAATTGTGGCCGTCTTAAGTCAATCGGGCGAATTGAATTTCTTACAGCTAATTGTTATAAATTTGATTGCCGTTTTGTTCCTTACTGTTTAATGCCTTAAATTTTTTCTTCCTCATGGTGATTATGATATCGTATTGTTCTTGTTGAAAATTTATGTTAAACTGAGGGACCATCTCCTTCACTGCGTAGTCTCTATCACTTGAGGTTCAAGTTATGGTAGGTGGGATGTTTGTGCTAGAAAATCCATGGGATTGTTCAAATAGGAACTTTCATTTTTATAACTAGAAAGCCTTTAACTGCCTTATCTGTCTGGAAGTTATAATTCAAAATTTATATATGAAGAACAGGTTTAATTACCGAAGATGTGCCTACGATTTTAAAGCACTCTTAAGGCATGCTATGTTATGTAACTTTCATTTTCTCGAGTCGAGGATGTAAGAGAACAATTGAATTGTCTGTGTTCTTAAAAGCAAGCAAGAGGTTTGATAGGATTTCGTTTCTTGCACCTTGATTCATAAGTGGTGAGCTCTCTTCTTCTTTGTGAGCCACAAATTAGTAGACCATGGATTATGCTACAGGTTCTTTCCAATTTTATCTAATGTCGCTGAAGGGACTGTGCTTCAGGTTTTTTGTATACGTGCTAGTTATTTTGGACGAATTCCCATGCTTTTTTTCTGTCAAGAGAACTAGTGTATTGGTGCTTCTTGGTACACATTTTAATTGTTTAAACATCTAGGCAGGTGCTTCCTTGGAGTCCCTTGCCAAAGGTGCTGTGCAGTTTTCTCGAAGATACACAGTAAGAGAATTGCAAGAACGATGGCATTCTTTGCTTTATGATCCAATTGTATCCGAAGATGCATCTATGTCCATGATTGACTTCGAGCGTTCTTCTTCCATTCTTCCGTCAAAGTTCAACAGATTTGGGAATCCAAAAGAAACCAAATATATTGGTGGGAAGAGAAAATCTGGGAGTGTACGCCATTGCTACTATGCTTTGCGTAAAAGAATTTGCAATGAACCATTTAATAACCCTATGGACCTGAATTTTCTTGTTGGACCCAGTAATAGTAACTATGTTGTTGAAGAGCCTATGTCCGGAAATTGTATCCCTCCAATATCTGATGATTTTGGACTTCAGAGCTCAGAGATGGGGATCTTGCCATGTGATTTCTCTCAGAATGTGATGAACACTGATGATGTGGAGCACACTTTTCAATCTGGATGTCAAGGTACAGTTGAAAAGCATTTTCCCAGGAACCTGGATAATGGACAGGAGGGAATTTCTCACAGTATGAGAGAGAGTCTGCCTCCTTCTGCAATTGATTCTCATGTTGAGGAATTGGCTCCATCGACTGGCTTTCCAGTCCATAGTCTCTTTGAAAATGATTTGGAGGCAAGACCTTCTACTTTTGGGCAACTGAGCAATGATCAGAGAGCGATGGGCTCTGAACTAGAGGATAACAATGTCTTTAACTCTCCTGTTTCTGAATCTGGTGCATCATTTCACAATGTTGAGTACTCATCTCCGCTTCCTGGTATGCCAATATGGAGAAATGCCTCAGCACCAGCCTTGCCAATTGATGTTGGCTTTGCAGATAAGGATATACCTACAAGTAACTCTTTTGAACTACCTGATGATGATGGGAACAAAAACATTCAAAATGCAAGAGTAGCAGGCTATGATGCTTACTCTGACTTAAAGTTGAAGATTGAAGTTGAGCAAGATCATTTGAAAAGTCCAAATGCCACCGCTGAAGTTTATCTTGCAGAATTGTCCAATTCTCTTATGAACATGAGCAATGAGGACGAGCTACTTTTCATGGATGTTGATGGAAAGGATGCGCTTGATAAGTCATATTATGATGGTTTGAGCTCGCTTTTGTTGAATTCACCAAATGAAATCAATCATGATCAAACAGCTAATGCAATTAATGCAGAAACAGTGTTACCAACTGATACAATGGTAGATCCCCCCACAGCATGTTCTGGAGGGTTATATGAAAAAGGATCCCACTGTGGTGTTGGACATTTGGATTGTACTTCTGAAGCTCATTCTTCGCCATCTGCATCTTTGAACAATCAGTGTCCTGTAAAAGGTGATGAACCTCTTTTTTGCACTTTGAACACAGAAGACCCAGACATCCCGAGCAATGATGATGTTTTCCTACCTCCATTGTCAACAATGGCTACGATGGGATACAATTTTCAAGATTGCATCAATACTACCTTTTCATCTACCAAGGATTTCACTTATAATGAAAAATCTGGTGAGACTCAAAACCTTGGGAGGGAGAGGAAAAATCATGGTGCTGGTGTTAATTATAGATTGCATGGTTTTTCTGAAAGAGGTGAAAAGCATCCAGTTGGTGGAGCTGGTGTTAATTATAGATCATCCCATAGCAACGCCCGACACTTGCCATCTGTGAGTAATGTTGGCTCCATAAATGGAAATAGCGATGCTGCTCTTCCTGCTGTGCTCAAGGAAGAGAACAATGAAATTTCCCGGGTAAATCATCTTGGTGAGAATTTTTTGAATGCTCATGCAGAGAAGCCAGGCTTTGATTCTGACAATGTTAGAATATATCCACCAAGTGCTGCCTGTGACATTAAACAGGAACCAGATATATTGGCTTCTTTGAAAGATCATCGTTTATCACAGGAAGGGGGTACTAGAGGTACTTTTGGTGTTGAACAAGGTGGACTATCTTCGACATCTGATCAAGAAGAGTTATCTATTGACAGTGAAGATGATGTACCTCATTTTTCAGATATTGAAGCAATGGTAAGATTTTTATGATAAATAGTTGAGTGACAGATAGTTATTTGTATCTCTTGCTCTATTTGTCTCTTACAGTTTCTTAAAACTTTCTCTTTCAGATACTTGATATGGACTTGGATCCAGAAGATCAGGATTTGTATTCAAGTGAAGAAGGTAACATATAGATGACTTATTATTATTGAATGCGTAATTTTGATCAATGTATTTTCTGGTTAAATCAATTCTTAAATATGTTGCGGCCTTGCTAATAGAAATCCTATGGTGCTTGTCTTGTTAGGATGAAGTATCAATAGATTATTATTTACCTTTGTGCGTGGGTGTGTGTTTGAATGTTGCACATGGGATTTCAGAAGATCTGGTATCATAATGTAGGATTGAAGCACTCTTTGTTTGTGATCATTTAATTTAAATAGATTGAAATCAGAAGTGCTTCTAAATTCTGTTTTTGGTTTAAAGTTTACCAAATTGATATGATTAGATTTTGCATGGTTCAAGTGTGAATTATACATTGAAATCATTATATTTTAGCTTTCCTTCGCAGGTTATAATCAAAAGGATAAAATGACAATTTCTGCAATATCTTGTCACTTTT